GTTATTTATTACCTAAATAAAGAATTTGAGAACAAGTTGTTAGGGTGGGATGAAGAGAAAGTAGGTACTTTATTTGGAGAAGAAAAAATAGGAATTTGACAGATTAGAATATCTTGAATCCTGGAACACAACTTTTTTTCCATTTACTAATTTTGTCAAGGTAAAAATCATGCTGTTGTCCTTATTAAGGTATTTACACATAAAAGCACAGCTGGGATCCAATACCAAAACAAACATACAGATGAAAGCTATCAGCTGCTACCATATTTTGTCTTTATAAACATGTATGATTTCATATCAGTACCACTAAGTGAACTCTTTCCTATAAAAGTTTCCCCAGTTATACTGATAGTTAACTAAAATTTTCCAGTTTTTGTACTCCATGAAAATCATTACCTGGATGGGTGCAACTGATCAAAGAAAGGTCACATATTCACTACAATTAGCAGGATTCTAGACCACAGACTTGCCAATACACAAAGGGGCAAAATTTAGGAGATTAAATTTGTTGAAAAATAAAAGTAAAGTATGAAAGAATTCAAATATGAGGGCCCTACTCTAAAATATTACCAGAATGGAGTGATATATTTTTGAAGGTTTTCACTGGAATGAGAGGCAGACGAATCAGCAAAGGGGTTACTCCATGAGTGAATTCAATCTAGGGATAACTTTGCCTACTTCTGATGAGGTCATTAGTACCTTTGTTACCATCTACATGTGGAAAAGTACACACTAACTTCTTCTTGTTTTTATGAATTGCCAGTTTCTGCTAAGCTTACTATAATTGCAATAGTCTAAAAGTGGTAGCTTTTATTTCTTCATCAGTAATAATATAAATTATTTATTAAATCATCAATCTTATTTTATTCTGATGTATTAACTTCTCTTCTGACCAGTCCAGCTTCTCTATGGCCAAATCTATACAAAGAGTTTACAAAGATGCACACATGTTCCTTTAGCTGCACTAAAGAATGCAAATGTAAAGACTAAAGAATGCAAATGTAAAAAACTGAAGTGTGCATTAGAGTAATGTAAATTTTGTAAATATCCACTTTTAGTGACTTTTACATTTTTTTCCCAAACAGTAAGCTACCACAGTGTAACCGTTTAAATAACCACTCATTTATTTCACTGATGGAAAAACTCAGGTGCCCAGAAATTTAATGAATATCTTACAGGAATATACTAGTATAATGAAAAGAAAAAAAAAACTTTCAAATTACCCATAAAAACATGAGAATGAAAGCACAATGAATGTATATATCATCACCAAAATTCTTATAGACTGATAATCTTGAGAGCCAAATGCTGGTCCTGGCTTTGGCCCTTATTACCTATGGAAACCTGAAGAATCTCTTAACCTCTTTAAATTGGATTCCTTAAGTGTTAATATGTGTTCCACCTTTAAAATTCTTAATTCTTTGAATTGTGTTTTTAATATGAAGTTTATAAAGCAATATAAAAATAAACAAACCCAACATGTATACGGTTTTACAGAGCCCTTCTAAGTACAGTGCTGACCTTATAATTTTGGAAACTTAAAAATGGGATGGAATGGTCAATGAACAAGTCTATAACATTTTCTATAAGCTTGCCTAAAAGGAAGTATTAAACACTCATTCAAAACTTGTCATATTTAAATGATTATAAAGTCAGATAATTGTTTTTTGTTGTTGTTACATGGA